TGTAACAGTAACGGAAACATCGTGATACTGTATCGCTAAAATTTTCACAATAATATCGTGGACTGTCACAATATATCGAATTACGAAGTCTGTCTGCTTAAATTAACTGTTATAGCGCAGCAATAGCTAAAAAAAAACAGAGGAAACTACATAGACCATGATCCTTTGGTGTTGTTAGTGCAGACTTAACATTAATAACACCTTTAAATCTTATTTCTTCATATTACAACAGTATCATTATAACAGGATCAGGCTTTTAAAAGGAACAAGTAGCATTATTCAGTTTTGTTAACCTCCACAAATAAAATAAAAATAAATAAATATCGTACCGTGAGATGCACATCGTGAAAATATCGTATCCAGAGATTTGTACATCATTACATCCCTAGCAGTTACTCGAATTATCACTCTTACTTCAGTAGTTTCCCCAAATTTTACTCTTACTTCAATATTTTTTGAACCACAACTTTATACTTCTACTTGAATAATATTATTTTGACCTAACAGTATCCTTACTTGAGTACAGGTCTTGGTTACTCTGACTTAGGCTTGTCAAAAGTATCAAAAATCTGATTCTAACAGATACTAAAACTAGTATCAAAACTATATACTCATTCAAACAAGAGTCGATACTAAAAAAGTCAACAAATGAATGATCTTGAACTGTATCAGAACAAGTATAAGAGAGTAGTACACGCCCATGGACACTGTGGCACCTACCTGGACCATGAGGGACTACACAGATATAAAACCTCATGGTAATACAACAGAAAGTACTATGATTTATTGTTGAAAATGACATTCTATTGTCTAAATAAAGAGGTATCTGAATTAGGGATGTAACAATATCAAAATCCCTCGATACGATATTTTCACAATATGCATCTTACGGTTCAGTATTTATTGTGACATTTTGTAAAGGCTGACAAAATTGTGAATACGCTATTTTTTTTTCCTTTTTAAACACCTTGGAAAAGCCTTTAGTACTGTTATAAAACAAAGAATTAAGATTTAAAAGTGCTTAATAACAGTGATTTCTTCATGTAGTCTGCACTGACAACACCAAAGGATCATGGTCTATGTAGTTCCCCCTGGTTTTTCAGCTATTTTTGCACCATGGCAAGGCAAGTTTATTTCTATAGCACAATTCATACACAAAGTAATTCCAAGTGCTTTACAGAATAAGAAAGACATTAAAATCATAAAGAAAGCCATTAAAAAAAAAAAAACTAAACCATAACAACTAATTTAAACAAAGAAACTTGTAATTCGATATATTGTGAAGGCCTCCGATATTATTATGAGACTTCTGACTATACGATATCACGATATTTCGATTATTGTTGTATTATTATTAATCGAAATGCTTATATCGTGACAACTAGGGCTGGGTATTATTAAGAAGCTGCCAATACCTCGATGCATACGCCACGATACGATACATATCTCGATACAGTGCACTTTCGATTCAATACGATATATTTAAAAATTGATTCAAACACTAAATCGTGGCTGCGATACTAAAAGTTTTTTATTAAACCACTTCTTGTGCGAAGTTCAAATGAAACACAAACATTTTAATCATCAAAACAGTGAAAATGTCAAATGTGTCGCATAAATGAGTTTCCTTCCTCTAAACAAGCAACAAAACTGTAGCTCTGTAACAAAATAATTTAGTAAAATACACCAAAAAATACGGTATATCGATACAGCAGCCCACGATACCGATACTGCATCATCACATTAAACTATACAATATATTGATATTTTTGCACAACCCTAATCGTGACAACACTACTCTAACTGTCTCAATCATTCGTATATTAAAGAGAGTGTACTTGGAAGCAGCGTGCTAAATGAATTGAAATATGCAGACTGTGGAGGAGTGGGAAGTGAACTGTGCTCGGAGATAACAGCTGTTGTGATATTTCGTAATTAAAAAATAAGTTCAACGACGAGCACTTGGCTGAACGGAACTAATAACAAAAGGTGTGCCAAGAGCGTATGTCGGAATCCGTTTCATACTCGCCCGCTTTGATTAATTTGTGAATTTCGGACTTTAATTACGGAAAATTAGGAGCAATTTCATCACAAAACACAACTGCATGCTTAAAGGTTGTATGGAGGATTTTTTTTTTGTTTCAAGTTGTCAATGATAGCATTATAGAGGTGCAGTAGCCTTGTAATTATGATGACCAAAAAAAAGAGAATAAAAATTCATCAACTCTGGACGTGGTGGGGCTAAACATTTGCCAATAGATAACGACACTGCCTCGTTATCTGTTAGCTGACAGGCTGTCAATCAATCTCCCTACGTTTCTAGCGTAACTGACTTGCCTGCGCGCCGCCGGTACGTGGTTTACGTATGACCTGTCACGCAGTCCACAGACGCAAGCCGCACAGACGCTGTTTACTCCACCAACGCAACAGTTCTTAGCGGCTTTTTTTGACCTATATCTTCCTCGCAGTTCGCACAAAGTTTGTTGCAATGGCGACAAGAATCCAGGAGCAGTTCGCCGCAAAAGAAAGTCCGTTTTTGAGGTTCGCTGAAAGAAGAAGACAAGGGGAAAAGCAGCGAAGCCAAACTAAGGTGATTCTTGAAGATTCATTCCAGCGATGGCGCAACTGAAGCAGACGCAGGGTCTAAAGACTGACGCACTGGTCGCCAAATTACTCCTGGACAGGTCACTTCTGCTTATTATGAAAACGTACTTTATTTCCAAGAGCTAGACAAACGTTTTTCAGGACACGAAAGCGATATCCTATGTCTGAAAACGTAATTTTCAAGGCAAAGAAAGAGTCCGCTTGCTGCTGCGTGTTGTAAGCTAGTTCATTCGCACTGAATCTCCGCGCACTCTTCTCTGCTCCCCTTTCCTGCTCCTGTCCCCGCTGCCCGATCCGCTCTTCCCCCTGCTCCTCACTTCTCCGGGCACGGAATCTCCGCGCACCTCTCCCCTCTCCCCTCTCCCCTCTCCTCTCTCCTCTCCTCTCCTCTCTCCTCTCCTCTCCTCTCTCCCTGCTCCGCTCTTCTCCCTGCTCCTCACTTCTCGTCCGCGAACGAAATGTCCGCACACCCGCTCCCCCCGCTCCTCACTTCTCCGTCTTGCCTAACCAACACTGTAGTTAGTTGTTTACAAGTCATGTGCAGCGCACCGGCTGTAAACAAACCTGTTTCTGGCGTAACGAGGAGGCGGGAGGAGGCGTTTCTACGTAGGGAGCTGTAGGGGAGGGGGGTGGTTTCACGCATGCGCAACATTTGAAAAAGGACAAACAGTCGCTGGATTTCTCGTTCCTTGGAAAATCCTCTATACAACCTTTAAGCGAGGAGAGAGGAGAGAAGCGTCTGGTAGCTAAAAAGTTAAGATTTGAATACACCGCCTGTTCTTTTGAAACTGAAAGCTCAATTTCTATATTAAAGTGCAAACATAACACAAAACTGACCCTCGTGAGCTTTAAACCATGTTGTTACCTCATTAAAAAGAACATACCCTGAGTTGTGTTTCGCTTCATTCACACATGTTCGAGTAATCTTTGGTTATTAGTAGGGCTGGCTATGATACTAAAAGTCTTTGTTAAACCACTTCTTGTGCAAAGTGAATATGAAACACAAACATTTTAATCATCAAAACAGTGAAAATGTCAAATGTGTCACAAAACAAGTTTTCTTACACTAAGCAAGCAACCAAACTGTAGCGCTGTAACAAAATAATTTAGCAAAATATACCAAAAAATATATATATCGATACAGCAGCCCACGATATCGATACTGTATCATCCCATTAAATGATACGATATATTGATATTTTGTTATTTTTGTACACTTCTAATTATTAGCCTGTTTACATCTCCAAAATGTCTGAATGCTCTGTTCTACCTTGTGATGTCATGAAGTGGTATTGTTCAAGTAATTGAGTAATTCAAGTAATTCAAGTGTTCAAGTTAATTCAGTAGAGACTGGAAATTCCAGGTCTGAAATCATGCAAATGATTTTAACGAATTTGTGCTCCAACACAGTGGAGTACTTCCTGTATTACCACATGACATCACAAGGTGGAACAGAGTGTTTTCAGTTTGAGGGAAGAACTCAGCTTAAATATGCAGGTATGTTTTTGGTGACGAAAGATCAGAAAATAGTGTAATATAGGTCCTTTAAGGAAATGGTATGATATCCAATACCTATTCCAATACCACAATGGTAATTAAAAAAACTAATAATAAAGAATAGAATGACATTTAAATTTCAACACAAAATAATAGATAATATTTCCATGTGGTCATATACAGGTTCTGATATATGTAGACCAACACATTTTGTTCCATTGTCTTGTTAAAAATGTCCACACACAATGCACATGTATCCAGCAGGCTTCAATAAGGGAGGTCAGATATTTCCCAGTTGAATGTTATGAGTTCTGACCTCAGAGCATTTCAGCTAAATTAAGTCGTATATGAACAATACGTCCAACGCTAAAGGATAAAGAAATGTAAACGATGAACAAATGTCTGTAACTTAAAGTGGGAGTATCATGCAAGACCCTGGACCACTGCAAACCGAAAATGATCTAGTGTTGTATTTCACATTTTACAGGGCCCATATTAGACTATTTTCTGATTTATATTAAAATATAATGTTGTTTCTTCATCAAAAACATACCTGGAGTTGTGTTTTGTTTAACATCACATCACATGACAGAGCATTTTGAGCTTTGGAAATGTACACAGATTAATCACAAAGGGTTACTCAAACATGTGAATGAAACAAAACACAACTCCAGGTAGGTTTTTGATGAAGTAACAACATTATAACACGGTTAATAACTCACAAGGGTCAATTTTGAGTAATATGGGACCTTTAAGACAGTAACAAAAACTGGTAAAATGTCTTTAATATAGAAAAGGGCCAACTGAGACTTATACATTAATATTATAACTATGAAAATATACTAACATTTTTTAATAATACCATTTGAAAGAAACAGAATTCTAATATGTGTACTCACGTGGAAGTTGGAGATGTGCTCTCTGTCCAGCGGCTTGGTCACAGACAGTTGTCCAGAGATGGGGTTGATGATGAAGATCCCTGTGGGCGGCTGGTCTGCTCCGGGTCCTGTCACACTGTAGCGCAACAAGCGGTTCTTATCTCGGTCTGAGCGGATCTGCGGAGAAGCGAGGACACGTGTTAAACAGCTAGTCATAATAACTTAAAAACACCTGTACCAGATTTTTGTACTATTACTTGAGCAAAATTTGTCCTGTCCCAGTACGAAAATATTGCAAAAGGAGCTCCTGAGGTCAAAATAAGTCCACTGTGTATTGCCTGGATCTAATTATAAAGCAGGAGGTGTGCTGTTAGCATGCTAGTTGTCGTTAGTATTACTGTGACGCTTTGTCTTTTGAACGTTGTGCTTAGAAACTCATTGCTGTGAATAATGAGAATGCTAGGAACGCAATAAGAAAATGAGGAGACTTTGGAACACAGCAAATTGTAAAAGTGTGATAAACAAATATACTTTATTTTAAAGAGGGTAAAATCAGGTAAAGCGTTTTTAATATAGAAAAGGACCCACTGAGAATGACACATTATTATTCTTGCCATGAAAAGATAATAACATTTTCTATACCATTTAGAAGAAAGCAGTAAGTGGAAGAAGTGTACAGGAATCCTAAATCACAAAAGCAACCAAAATGATAGAAGTATTTATTTTTAAAGCTACACTGTGTAACTTTTTGGTTGGGGGTCCGTCACCTGCTTGTTCCTATGTCATAAATGATGTCTCACAGAATAACATTAAGCAACTCTACCTTACATTTATTCAATTACAGGTGGTTTTATAGCTCAAAAATACCTAAAAAAAAGAGGCATTCTGACGATACGGTCACCTGTCCACAGATCTGACCTGTAACTTTGTCTGGTTTTGTCCATGAATATAGAGAGGTTTAATACCATACTGTGAAACATAGGGGTGTGCAAAAATATCAAAAAATCAATATATCGTATCGTTTAATGTGATGATACAGTATCGATATCATAGGCTGCTGTATCGATATTTGTATAAAGTATTTTTGGTATATTTTACTCAATTATTTTGTTACAATTACGGATGGGCATGATTAATCGATTAATCGATAATTGATCATTAAGAATTTAATCGATTACGTTAATTTTAATCGACAAACCGAATGTAGGTTGCTGTGTGTAGTGTGACCAAACAGGTCCGTACATGTGTCTCTCTGCATCAGAAGGAGCGAGACACAAACAGTCGGTCAGTCTGCAACGTACCGAAGCACAAAAGTGTATTTAATGATGATTTGTACAAGAAATTCCACGCTTTCCGTTGCGTTCAGGACAAGTGTGAGTCCATGTGCACAGTGTACAAAGCAGCACATATGTTTCGGTGTCCAGTAGGAAAAAGCTTTGCCAGGTGAGAGTCGCGCAATGTCGATGACGAGTCTCCACCTCCCTCCCCCCGTATGGTGTCCTGGTTTTGACAAACGTAAATCTGGTCACACTAACCTGTATTCACCTGAGTCATGTCTTTTAATCCAACAGAAATTGACCGCATCAGCGACACAAGAGCTGCAGTTTTATCTTCGCTGAGTTTATGCAAATTTGTGATGCGGTTTTAAGTTTTGTTTCTGTGAGAGTTGCGCAAAAATGAATTAAACATATTATAATTTCAAACGGGCTGATGTGGCTCTAGAGTCGTTACGGTTTATATGTCGTAAAGTTGAATTTATTTATGCAGATTAGTAGTGCAGATAGTAATAATAATGATGATCATTTTAATATAAAAACGTTAATGATTAATCGATAATCGATCGTTAATTCTTCCGACGATCGATTAAGAAAATTTCATCGAATGCCCATCCCTAGTTACAATGCTACAGTTTTGCTGTTTGTTTAGTAGATGGAAACTCTTTTATGTGACACATTTGACATTTTCACTGTTTTGAGGATTAAAATGTTTGTGTTTCATATGAAGTTCGCACAAGAAGTGGATTTGAACAAAGACTTTTAGTATCACAGCCATGATTTAGCCATTACTTTTTTACTGAACCGTATCGAATCGATTTGAAATATATCATATCGAATCGAAAGTGCACTGTATCAAGATATGTATTGTAACGTGGTCTATGTATCGAGGTATGTATCGTATCAGCAATTTTTTAATGATACCCAGCCCTAATCTCCGCTGAGAAAAGCATTTGACGGACCCTCTAGCAGTAAAGTTACACAATGCACCTTTAAGTAAATACTTCATCTTCAATTGTTTTACATAGTTTGACTTCATAACCATTGGCCCTGGCATTTGTGTGCAACCTTTTCAAGTTCTATTATCATTATTCTTTACTGAATAGAAAAAACAAAAACAAAAAAAAACATTAAACTTCTTTGAGACCATAGAGAATTATTCCAAATACACAAATATACAGTCTTTAGGTATTTAAAATAGGTAAGATTCACATTTATGCGTCATATTGACCCTGTTCTGACCATTATTTTGAGGACTTTTGACCATAGTGACAAATATTTTTTGTTTAAACTGTTACCTAACACAACAACAGCCCTCATTTTTCATCACTTTTAACCCAAGTTAGACATTCTTGTTACATAAGACAACACAAAAGCTAAACTAGAATCAACTGACAACAGATTCCCATAAACTTAAAGCGTACATTTTACACGTCTGACTCGCATTTTTCAGACACAAGCCTCGCCAAGCACAAGTGACACCTCCTCTTCTCCTCTTCTCTGTATATTTGGAGTCTCTTTGCTCCCAGATACAGCGCTGCAGCTTGTGTGAAGGAACTCGTCTCAAATGTAAAGTTGTAGATTGGAGCTGACCTAAAAGTGTCTGCTTTGTCAGGGGGGACTGTTCTCAAACTGAGCCAAACGCTGTGGGCTGCTGGCTCCTCGCGACGCTCCATCTGATCACAGCTGAAGTCATAATACACTGTCATAACACTGAGATCAGACTGGACATGTCAGAGAGGAGAGACAGAGGAGAGACAGAGGAGTTTTTCAATGAGGAAAGTCACCCAGAAAGATAGAAAGTTTCATGTGACAATATATACTTCAGGCAGGCAAGTTTTTGATTGTGAAGAACTGACACAGAAGATCAAATTCTTTTGTTTTTTTTTTCTTTTTACTTTCAAACTAAAGTAATACAGACTTTGTTTTTATTTATTTTTTATTCTTTTCCCAAGCAACTAAAACTTTTCTTGCCTGACAAATCCAGAATGATATCGCTCTGTATTTAAACAAGGTCACAGGTTTGCTCTCAGCCCCACCAAAGCTTGTTATCTTATATCTTTTTTTAACCTCTGGCTGTTCAGTACTTACCTTTGTACCATTTCAAGCTCTTCATTGGACTTGCATGACTTGAATTGCAATAAATAACTGGAAAAATGAGGTGTTCTAAAACTTGACCGGTAGTGTAACTGCTGCTCTCTTAAATGTTTGTGGTAAATAAGCTGTGTGTGTGTCTGAGTGTGTCGTTTTGTGTTTTTATTGTATCTGTATCTTTTAGTCTCCAGTTTTTTTCGTTCAGCGCTGGTGGCTGCTTGTGTCTTACCCTGACGAGGTCCTCTGGGAACTGCCCTCTGGAGTTTTCGGGCACATTGATGGGGGGGATGACCCAGTCCCTCTTGACCCGCCTGAGCGCCCCGTCACCCCCGGCAACCACGCTTCGCCAAGGAAACAGCACCTCCGGCACAGACCGCTGCTGCTGCTGCTGCTGCTGCTGAGTCAGGACCGGAGCACCTGCATTCACCTGTCAAACCACAAAGTCCCAGTGAGTCATACATATGTACTACTGTACCCTGTCCTCTACTACTACTACTTCTACTACTACTACGACTATGTGTGCTGCTTCTCTTATTTTGTCATAGTCTTTTTAAAGGGGCTGAACCTTTTCTTTTTTTTTTTTACATGCATAAAGTAAAAATGTGTGTTCCCAGATTGTAAAAGCAGCTCGTTTTATAATGAGGTCTATAAAGCCATGAACCAGAAAGTGCGTTGTTAGCATGCTAGTTGCCATTAGCCTTACAGTAATGGCAAAAACACTTAGAAACTCAGTGTGGTGAATAATTATGATGCTGAAAATGCAGTAGGTAAGCGAAGAATAAGAAACATATGCACATTTTAAACATGTTTATAGAGTTCACATTGGAGGAAAAGACTGAAATAAAACTAAAATAATGTACACAGACTTCAAAACATGTTTGTAGAATCTAGATCATCGTTTCCCAAAGATTGGTCGTGACCATTGCAAGAGATTTTTTTTTGGGTCGCCTTGTTTTGTAATTATTTTATTGACTATTTTGTTGGAGAAAAATCCCACACACCGTCTTACTTGCAAATTGTGAAATTTATTAGGACAAACTGTGCAACGTTTCGGCACTAGGCCTTCGTCAGGCAAACAGAATGAGAGCTCAGGTGGCCATCTTAAATAGGGTGTGGCAAGCACCCAAGGGTGACAGGTCATAAAGAAACAGTGCACGCAAAACCGGGGTTTTGCGTGCACTGTGGCTATTTACTTTGGCTATTTAAGATGGCCACCTGAGCTCTCATTCTGTTTGCCTGACGAAGGCCTAGTGCAGAAACGTTGCACGGTTTGTCCTAATAAATTTTACAATTTGCAAGTAAGACGGTGTGTGGGATTTTTCTCCATGTTCTTGGGCTGCTCCCTCTCCTCCAACGCACCCATCTCTAGTAATTGATGTGCGAGGCTCTCATTCTTTCATATTGACTATTTTGACTATTTTGTTCCAATATTGCTGGTTTGATTGAATGTTGAAAAGAAAAAAAAAAAAAAGCTAAATTTAAAGTCCAAATAGGCGACTTGTGAATCCTTTTATTACTGTTTCTATTACTGTTTTTAATTATTTTAAAACTTGAGTAATACTAATTGTTCAGAGAGACACGATCAACAGTAAAGTCAGCAATAAAATATCTTCATTAATGTTCAATAATGGTCAAATCCACCTTTATTTTGTGATTTTCTGTGATTTATTGACTTGGGTCGCAAAGGTTTGTGACTTTTAAAATATGGGTTGCCAGAAAAAAAGTTCACTAGAAACACTGGTCTAGACGACAGGGTTAGTAGCTTTTAAACATAATAATCAGACTCCATGTTACCAAAATACATTTCTTTTACTAATTGTGTCCATTAAAATTCAAATTGTGCTCCACCTCACAGTCCTAATTACAGAGTACACACACTACACACACGAGCACAAACACAGATGCAGGTTGTGTTGCTGGTGGAGGCCTGTGTGTGACCTCATTCCTGTGGGATTAATGCCGTTGGTTACAGACGTCTGGTAAATGCCACCACCTGTCACTGATCACTGATGTGCACACAGATCAGCTCAGCTCCGCTCTGCGATCAGGCCGGTGCTCTGGGGCCGACAATGACACTAAATCATGATAAACGTGAGCACAGTACGGCTAATCATCAACGGTCAGCCCGGGTTTTTTTCATGATTCTTATTTTCCCTAGAGGAGGGGCTCCCCGTGCTTGTTCCTTTGGTTGTAATATTCCACAGTACGGCATTAAACTTAGCTCCATAGAGAATATTGCAAAGTGTGGTTTTAACTTTCTATATCCATGGCATCATGCAGGTGACGTACCACCTCCACAAATCAAAATGGATCAATATGAAGAAAAAGTATTGAGTTTGGAGGCGGTGACTGTTATGCTGCTATGTGATGGTGAATAATGAAGCCTATAGAACACAAGTGTCAAACTCAAATTCACAGAGGGCCAAAATTAAAAACTGGGACGAAATCGTGGGCCAAACTAAATATTTATTGAAAATTTTCAAGATCAGCATGTTTTCTCTTTTTTTGAGATGTGTAATTAAACCGGGATTAAACTTTTTCTTATTAAAATACATTTTTAATAATAGTTTTGCTTAAACATTCAATCCAGAACAAGCATAATATAAAATAATAACAACATTTTAAATAAATAATGTTTCTATAGCCTATCTGTGGCCGGTGGATCAGCTCTAATACATATTTGACATGATCTCGTGGGCCAAATATAATTATATCACGGGCCAAATTTGGACCCTGGTCCTGAGTTTGACATGTCTGCTTTAGAGTGATAGAAGTTAAAAAGGACTATATGTCTGCTTTGGACTTGATTTAGCAAATGTGTAACAATAAATTATCTGAGTTATCTTGAAGGAGAATGTTTTTATTTAGTTGAAAATACACAATGTGAGAAAAAAAAAATCATAGTGGGTTTAAACTAGAGCAGACTGCACCTTGTGAAAAGTGATAAAACAAGTCATTTGTCAACGTTTAATGTTTAACATAAAACTGGAACTCATATCAAAACCAAAACTATATTCTTACATTTCTGGGTCAATAAAGTTTTGTTTGTTTATAAAATGGTTCTGACAGCAGCACTTCTCTGAGGACTCTCTCTCTCTAAAAAAAAAATGACCTTCCTTCTTTTCTCTCTCCACCCACCCACCCTCTCATAACCTCTCATCTCTCTCTCTCTGTCCTCTTCTCTCTCTCCTTCTTCTCCTTTCTCACTGTTCCTTCCTCATTTGATGTTGTCTCCTCACACTCTCCATCTCTCTTTCCTCTCTTAGCCCCCTTTCTCCCTGTCTCTCTTCTTTCATATCCCTCCTTTCTCCGGCTCCTCCCCTCTCCCCTCCTCTCTCTCTTCGCCTCCTTTACTCTGTGACTCTCCCTCTGTCGCTCTTACCTCCTCTCTGCCTTTCCACCTCTCTCTACCTCTCTTCTCTCTCATCCCCCCTTTCTCCTGCTGCACACTTCTCTCTCTTATCTCTTTCCCCCTACTCTTTCCGTCTTCACCCCTCTCTCTTCTCATCTATGTGTGTGTATCTCTCTCAACTCCTCTCTCTCCCTTCTCTCTCTCATCCCCCCTTTCTCCTGCTGCCCCCTTCTTCCTCCTATCTCTCTCTTCTCTACTCTCTCTTCCCCTCTGTGTGGGTCTTTCTCTCCCCTCTGTCTTTCCACCTCTTTCTCTTCTCCTCTCTCCACCTCTCTTTGCTCTCATCCCCCCTCTCTCCCTCCTCTCTCTCGTTCCCCCTACTCTTTCCGTCTTCTGCCCTCTCTCTCTCTCACCTCCTCCCTCCTCTCTTTGTCTCTCCCTTCTCTCTCTCTTCCCCTCCTCATCTCTCTCACTCCTGTCTTTCGCTCTCTCCCTTGTCTTTCCACCTCTCTCTCTCTCTTCCTCCCGTCTCTCTCATCCCCCCTTTCTCCTCGTCTTCTCCCTCCTATTTCTCTCTCCCCTCACTCTTCTCCTGCTCCTCTGTGTGTCTCTCTCTCACCTCTCTCTTTTCTTTCCCTTCTCCCTCTCTTCTTCCTCCACTCTCTCTCTCTCTCTGCCTCCCTTCTTTCTCATCCCCCCTTTCTCCTGCTCTCCCCCTCCTCCCTCTCTGCATCTCGCCCTCTCTCACCTTCTCTCTGTCTTTCTCTCTTCCTCCTATCTCTTTCTCCTTCTTCTCCCCTCACACCTCTCCTCCTCGTCTCTGTCTCTCTCTCTCCCTCCCTCCCTCCTCTCTCCGTCCTCCTCTCTTCCTGTTTGTCAGTCTTCATTCTGACCTGATTACTCCTGGGCCTGAGCGCTGTGTGCTGACGCGGCGGCTCTGCCAAACCAGCGTCTGCTAACCGCTCCTCCGGGTGCTCCTTAGGAACCCGTGTTGACAGGTCCGTATCGCCGTGTCACTACAAGAGCCGGACAATACACTGCACTGTCTACAAGATAATATCCAGAGGGCTGTTCCAAAGGCACGCTTAAAGACTTCGAGGAACCAAAAACACACCGAAAAACTGTCAATTCTTTTAGTAATATGACTCCTGGGTTGACAAGAGGTGAATAATGTTTGTTTTAAGTTTACTGGGTATTATTATTATTATTATTATTATTATTATTATTATTATTATAATTATTATAATAATAATTAATAATAATAATAATAATAATAATAATAATAATAATAATAATAATAATAATAATAATAATAATAATAATGAATAAAATAAAAAATATATAAAATAAATATAATAAAAATAAATAAATAAATGAATATTGGATATAATGTTTTCACAAAATCTCAAAATGCAGCCAAAAAAAACCAAAAAAAACAACAACAAAAAAACATATATATATGTGGGTAGTTTGATATATTTTAAATGTGCACTGTGGAACTTTTTGGTGCTGCTTTCTATGGAGATGTCATTGCTCTGCTTAAAATGTTCCGTAGTATGACATTAAACAGCTCTACTTTACATTTATGAAATTACAAGTGGTTTTATATCTCAAAAACACCTAGAAAAATGGGCATTCTGACTGAGCAGGGTCACCTCTCCACAGATCTGACCTGTAATTTGGACTACGTTTACACTGAAACAAATCCGCGTAACACATGTAACATGTCGGAAATGATACTTGAGCGTATTTGTTTACGTTTTACAGAAATGAAACTTAAAACCACATGGCTAATTTGCATAAACTGAGGCTCGCTATTGTGCACTGATGCGGTTCAGCTTCTGGCGGACTAAAGGACACGACTCACTGGATTATATGAGTGTTCTTTCTGTGACAGAGAGATGTTCTGCTGATGGTGAGTCTATTCTGTGCTTCAAGTCGCGTTGGAGATGGTTCACGTTAAACTTTTCAGATACGTCTGTAGGTCATACACACGTATGTATGAATGGACATATATGGACGTTTTGGCGGTAAATTACTTCGCGGCGCACAGACCTACATCAGCGTATCAGCGT